ATGTGATAATAATAAAATTAAAAACAAATCACTGAAAAAAAATGGGTCACTTACTTGTACGTACAGTATGCTTGCCAAACCATATCGAGTTTCACCAATACAGGAATCAAGCCTCAGTGGGTTTTTACACATTTTACAGTGGTTCAACTGCTTAGCAACGTAATTTAAATCGACGACACGTCTGCCAACTCGCCAATCACCGCCGCTACTACTACTACTAGTATCGCGACCTGAACCCAATCGCAATGTTTCTTCATCGTGGTTTTCGTTGAATATTTTAGAAGTTTCACTCTGATTTCCACTTTTAACACATAAACTAGTATTAGAAGTAAATGGTTTAAGTGAGCGAAACTTACTGGGAATATCACCAGTTTTAGAAAACTTTCCACGAAACCGCGGCAGACTACGTTTGTTATTGTTGGTCGCCATTTTACCATAGCCGCAAAGTGCACTGTCGTAAATTGTCGTAATTCGATACCGCAAATAGAACTACGCGTTGATGACGTAAGCATCGTCCCGTTCTACCTTAATTCCCACATGTGCGCATTCAGAGCCAATACATAGTAAACCGTTATATTTTGAGAATGTTTGTGAGCACATAATTTTGTGACTATGGTATGTTACAATAATATATACAGTACATTGAAATTTAAAAAAAAAAAAATTATGTTTACTTGTAAAATATTTGTCTGTGTACCAACTAAAATATATTACCGTGAATACTTCAATTTGGGCATTATTTTTCAAACACTCCAATCATTCATGGTGTCTAAATTAGAGTCCAATTTAGGTTTCATGCCTTTTCATGAGTACAATATTGTTTATTGTGACTAGTGTGAATGGGTAAACTCTATTTTGGCTATGAGCTGTTATCAACGTAAACTTCTTCTAAACTATACTTTTTGTTTATCAACAAAATTAAAACCAATGCATTATATATTAAAATATTTTTTGTTAAATTGAAATACAAAAATTTTTGTTTGTTTGACTAAACATTTATTAGAACCAAATTAAGGCCTTTCACTTTTCCCTAATGCCTAAATTAGAATATTTACCATTTCATAAGACAAAATGGCCCCTTAGCTAGCATTTTGAATACATGAAAGAATATACTGACAGCGGGTATACGGTTTGCAAAATGTAATCAAAAGAATCTTGTCTTAGGATTCAGGTTAAAAATGGCTGCAAACCAGATACAGGTGTAGATGTAAGATGTGAAATGTGTTCATGTATACTATGTTTGGTTTTTAGAAACAATTTTTTGTAAAGTACAAGACAAAATCATCACCAGTGTTCTTCAGTAGCTGAAATTTATTTGGTTACCAATTGAATGCTATTCTTTACCTTTCACAAAGAATTTATAATTCAACGGCAATCAAATTATTAAAATAATTAATTAATAAATGTACAAATGATTGTGTTTTGAATTGGTAACAAATTTGAACAAAACCACTTGGAGCACATGGATGGATATCAACTCTAATTAATTTACAATGCACACCTTGAACTAAGAACCATGAATTATGAATACATGTTTACTGACCTTTCGTCCATTTTTATGTGCCTCATCTATAATCTTTTTGACCTCTAGTGCGTATTTCTCACCGGCATTCTTATCATCTCTGTACATACCACGATATACATCTGGACTTGGTGCCTTACAAGAAAAATTGAATGTTGTCATGACAACTGCATACAAACTAAAGCAGGTAGATAATTAGATACCAATGAGAAACATTACTTCTATGTCAAAAGTCGTCTGGACATCACACATACGATTCTTGCAGAAGACAACAAGACATGAATGTCACAGTCCCAGTCATTTAATTATAAAATACTCATGTTAAATTAATACATGGAACATCTGCAAACAATTGAATTAATATGTGGATACAACTCATAGTGAAGTGATTTCCCTTAATCTAGTATTGTGCTGATAACTGAAAACTTCCATTGACCCATGTCCAAAATCTCAGAGTACACAAGTGCAACCAAACTATGTTCAAGCAACTGCATTCATAAATCTGAGTAAACCTTGATGTACCTTTAATAACTATTACCAGGACCTGGGTTTGTTTCATTATCACTACTATAATTCCCATCAAAATGTAGCCCTGACACCCCTCTACAGTTTCCACTGAGATTTGTAATGGTACGATCCACTAGCTCTGGCAACTGAAGCTATATTTAGACCACATGTATCAATGTGCCTGGCCAAGATCACAGGCGCTCAGCACGTTTCTTGGCTAATAAAAAATGACCTAAAGTGGGATCGGCATAGTT